TATAGCAGCTCAGAGTCTGCAAAATGACAACGAGTAAACCAATCCGGAGTAAAGCTTTCTCGGGCCCCATCATGAAGGGGCCCTTATGAGGGGGTTCCGTATAATTTGCCAAGAAACATTTGGACCTTTGTTGCGCGTCCGGAGTATGTTCGCCCCGCACCAACCCAGTTCCAGGTGTTCAATTCCGTCAGAAACCTTTTGTTCGCTGGTGTCTTCCTAAAAATGGCCAACCCAAAAAGTTGAACACATGGTCACATGGGGCAACCCCAAGAAACGTGGGTCGAGGGCAACAAGCTCCTAGGGTTTGCGTTGCTGGTGGCAACTGGCGCATTTTCTGCACCGAGCCGGCAGTTCTGAAGGCTTCACGGTGCACTTTGTCCGCAACCCCCACAAGGCGCCTTACAAGGCGCCAAAAACAAGCGTGGCTGGTCGTTGCTAAATTGGAAGAGGCCCTCAGCTTTTCAAACAAGCTAGAGGTGTGTTTTTTTCTTTATTCCCGAAAGCATGGCGAAGGGTTCTTCCGCTGGGTTCACTTGAGTTGTTCTCATGAGAGTCATTACAAGGTGTCATTGCAAGGAATCATCATCATGAAAGTCATTGCAAGGAGTCATTGCAAGGAGTCATTGCAAGGAGTCATTGCAAGGAGTCATTGCAAGGAGTCATTGCAAGGAGTCATTGCAAGGAGTCATTGCAAGGAGTCATTGCAAGGAGTCATTGCAAGGAGTCATTGCAAGGAGTCATTGCAAGGAGTCATTGCAAGGAGTCATTGCAAGGAGTCATTGCAAGGAGTCATTGCAAGGAGTCATTGCAAGGAGTCATTGCAAGGAGTCATTGCAAGGAGTCATTGCAAGGAGTCATGGCAAGGATTGCAACTTGCACTTGACTCCTTGCACTTGCAACTTGCACTTGACTCCTTGCACTTGCAACTTGACTCCATGCACTTGCAACTTGCACTTGACTCCATGCACTTGGCTCCTTGCACTTGGCTCCTTGCACTTGGCTCCTTGCACTTGCAACTTGCACTTAACTCCGTGCACTTGCGACTTGCACTTGACTCCATGCACTTGGCTCCTTGCAACTTGCAATGGCTCCTTGCATGACTCCTTGCAATGACTCCTTGCAATGACTCCTTGCAATGACTCCTTGCAATGACTCCTTGCAATGACTCCTTGCAATGACTCCTTGCAATGACTCCTTGCAATGACTCCTTGCAATGACTCCTTGCAATGACTCCTTGCAATGACTCCTTGCAATGACTGCTTGCAATGACTCCTTGAAACAAGCAAGGAGTCAAGTGCAAGTTGCAAGTGCAAGGAGTCAAGTGCAATTGACTTGCGAGGAGTTAAAATCTCTTCTTAGGGCGGCGGGGTAGTGCCGACGACACTACACGAAAATCGACCCTCTGCGGGGATCGGCGTGGTCGAGGTGCAAAAACCCATGGTTTTTTGCGATTTCTAACCTGCTCGCGCGACCCTCTGCGGGGATCGGCGTGGTCGAGGTGCAAAAACCCATGGTTTTTTGCGATTTCTAACCTGCTCGCGCGACCCTCTGCGGGGATCGGCGTGGTCGAGGTGCAAAAACCCATGGTTTTTTTGCGATTTCTGCGGTGCTCGCGCAACCCTCTGCGGGAATCGGCGTGGTCGAGGTGCAAAAACTCAAGGTTTTTTGCGACTTTTGTTGTTCGAACTGGTCCTCGGGAGTTGTCTCGTGGTTCGCGCGCCTGCTCCCGGAACCGGCGGGTCGCGGGTTCGATTCCTCCCTGGTCCGCGGGCGGGCGTCGCAAGATGCAACTTGCATTTTACAGCAACTTGCGCAGAGCAACTTGCGCAGAGCAAGTTGCACAGAGCAACTTGCGCAGACCAACTTGCACCGACCAGTTTGCGCAGAGCGCCTTGCCTAGAGCAACTTGCGCAGAGCAACTTACGCAGAGCAACTTGCACAGAGCAACTTGCACAGAGCAGCTTGCACAGAGCAACTTGCAGGGAGCGCAATTTGCACAGAGCAACTTGCAGGGAGCCACTTGCAGGGACCAACTTGCCGGAGCAACTTGCGCGGAGCAACTTGCGCAGAGCAACTTGCACAGTGCAACTTGCGTAGAGCAACTTGCGCAGACCAACTTGCACCGACCAGTTTGCGCAGAGCACCTTGCCTGGTGCTGTCTCGCGCTTGCTTCACGAAGTGTAGGGAAAAAGAACGCATCCTGCAGCGTTGGGCCGACCTCGCTTGCGATGTTCTGCTTTCGGGCCAACCGTGGTCTAGTGTTTGTTGCTTTGTTTGCTTGCTTGCTTGCTTGCTTGCTTGCTTGCTTGCTTGCTGGCTTGCTGGTTTGTTTGTTTGCTTGTTTGTTTGTTTGTTTGTGTTTGTGTTTGTGTACTTGATTGTTTATGTGTCGCCTTCTTTATGTGTTTCTTCATTTGTTTCGTTTCTATTAATTTATGTCTTTCTTTCTTATGCTTGTTTGTTTGGTTGTTTCTTTGTTGCTTGTCTTGCTTGTCTTGCTTGTTGTCCATTGAATCTGCCGAAGTGCAGTCACAGTTTGTTGACTTATCAGAAGGACCACGAAATGGGTCCGTTAAGGAAACCAGTTTTGACCGTGGCCAAGCGATGCGCCCCTCTGTATAGGGGGGGGGGGGTGGCAAAAGCTTATGGCCGGGACTGAGTTAAATGTTCCAAAGAGTGAGCAAACGTAACATCCCGGCTTGGCGCACCTCTTTGTTGTGCGAATGTCCTCTTATTCGACGTGGCCTTTGTCTTGTGCTTTGTTTTTGTTCTTAGTATCTGGGCCACGCTTTGCTGACATGTTTGACATGTTGCACGGTTGTCCAGCAAAATGACTCTTGACCAAGGTATGGTTTACCCTTTTCATTATCATTCTTCGTGTCAGTATTTGGTGCAGGTTTAGGCTTGGTCAGGCTTGGTGTCCTGCTATCATTTCAGGAAAAGACGGACTCTCAAGTTCCGTGGTCAGTCTGGGAAGGGTGGTTGGAAGTCAACCTGAGGCGTGAGTTTTTCAAGGTGAAGGTTGCTGGTGACACGGCCAAAATGTGGGCAGAGACGAAGACCTTCCGGTGGGATGGCTCTGGGGGCATCGGTGCTGCTTTTGTGTGCGCTGACCGCTGGGCAAGAGACATGAGCTTGTTGGCGGAGCGCTGCTGGAGGGGTTTGTGTCTGAGCAGTGGGGGGTTTCTGTCTGGCGCTAGAGGGGTTTGCGTCTAGCAGCGCGTTTACGTCTGGGTGCTGCGTTGGACGTAGGCAAGCCCCACTGCCAGCTGTTCCAATGGCACTTTGGCGGCTGCCTTTCCCCGCTCTTGACTGCGCTGGAACGTCTTTAAGTGCACTGGGGTTGGTGAGTGCCATTCACCATTCCCGGAGCCCGGGAAAGGTCAGGCGCTGGCCCATACAACGAATTTGGAGGGCTGGCCTCCTTTGTGACATCAAGGCCCGATCATTGAGAAAGGGCGCGCGTCCGTTGTGCCCTGCCTTTCGAATGTGTTGCAGGATCAGGCTTGGGCAGGCTTGGTGTCCTGCTATCATTTTAGGAAGGGATGGCTCTCCTTTCAGGTTTAGGGAAAGGCCCCTGCCATATACCCACCCGGCTGGCACGAGTAAATCCAGTCTTTCCTGATCCACCAACCCCTGATCCACTAACCCCTGATCTGTGATGCATTTGGAGGGTGGGCCTCCTTTTTCAGATTCATGGCCGGTATTTGAAAAAGGGCGCGTTCGTTAAGTAGGGGAAGGGCCCCTGCCTTTTTGGAATGAGTCTTGGTATCCTTACGATGCTGATTTTTAATTTGCTGTGTTTGCCATGTTATTAGGTGGGTGTGTGTCTATAACTATAATTCATATGTGCATTGTTAAAATTATTTGTTATTATCAATATTGAAATCGCTACGCGATCCACCGACGCCAGTGGGGTGCAATGGGTTTTAAGACCTTTTTTATTTTTCGTGGAAGTCTGAAAGTGCCACAACAAGCCTTCTTGGTACTTTCCTATTTTTCAGTCAGAAAACATGTGCCAAATGCTGGGGATGCTGGAAATGCAAGGGATGCAACCACACAACGTACAGGAACAGACCCAATCTTTGCATCCAACATTTCAACACTTTCAGACACGCAAAGTGGACGTAACACTGAAAATACCAGAGATGTCGGGAATGCTGGGAATGCAGCCGGCTGGCCACAAAAAAGCCAAAACAACCAGGATTTGTTGATATTTCCTAAGATCAACCATCAAACGCAGATACTAGCAACCCCCTTCAAATACCCTAAAAATAGTCTTCCAAAAACACCATAATGCAGGGGATGTTTCGCAGTAACTGCTCCGTACAGTGGGGAGTTGCAAAAAACACACATTTTTGCAAACTCAAACAGTTCCTCAACGTATCACTGCACTTGGCCCAACCCAGACCCCTAACAGGCCGATTTCAACATTGCTTGAAACAGCAAAACACCACAAGTATCTGCAAAAAAAGAGAGACACATTCATAGCAGCAAGGTAACCCTGACATTTTGGGGCTGGCCCTGGAAGTGGCCGTTCTTTACTAGAGTTTATATAAAAATTACACACTTTAGCTCGAGTGTAAAGAATTGGCCATGTGGAGCCCCAAAAGCGACATTTTGGAGCTGGCCTTGGAAGTGGCCGTTCTTTGCTAGAGTATATATAAAAATGACATGATGCTGGGGATGCAGATCCTGCGCGTCCGGGGGAAGCCTTGGACACCCAGCGCACCATGCCCAAAAAATGGCAGCCTCAAAAGTCTTCGGCTTTGATAAGGGATCCGAAGGAAGACCAAGTTGCGAACTGCCATCTACATGCCCGAGTGGCGTCGGCAGACTACGTACTTGTGTTCTTTGTGTTCTTATCACTATTCCATTGGGTGTTTGGCCTTTGTCGTCTGATTTGTCTTCTTAGTTTTCTTGTCGGTTTTGTGTATATTGTGCATTCTTCTTCTTTCTTCTTCCTTCTTGTTATTCTCCGCGGCACGTGACAGGCGAAGATGAATGCTTCGCAGCTGGGCCTGTGGGTGGAAAGGCGGGCCAAACAAGTTTTTGACCAAAAGGCCACAGGGGGAAGGGATTCCAGAAAGGGGACAACCCATTTTGGGGCTCCCCTTACTTTGAGAAACACCCAAACATGTTGGTAGCGATTTGTTTTTCTTTTTGTCGGTACCGAGCATGGTGCCTAATGTTCAATGCTGCGCACCGATTGTTTTTTACCCGGAATGGCATGACCACGTTTGCCAGCTTGCTGCTTGGCTATGTCAACTAAATTGGACATTGCCAAGGTTTCCAGTGCCAAGACTAGCCCTGCCCGTTTCCACAAGGATAGAACCCAAACTTCTGGCCTCATTGGTTTCCTTTCAAGAAAGCCAGGCTTGGATCAAGCCACCCGGAGCTGAAAAACCTGTCTAGCAGGGATCCCTGCGCGGTTTCTGCCGGGCGTGAAGATGATACACCCGAGTGGATCACAGTTTCCATTATCCCCTGGATTTGCTTGTCGCGCCCCCCCCCTCCCGAAACGACATTTGGATCCTTGGTCTACCTAGGTGGTCAGGATTCATCCCAGTAGCCAAGGGAACCTTAATTGAAAAATCAAATGGAACATGGCAAGGGTTACTTGTGGTCGCGGATCCACAGGGCATGGTAGTAAGGTTGTAAGCCGCTAACTCTTGAAACCAACCCTGGCACTCTTTTTCCATGGCCACGGTTTGGATTGCCTTTCTTTTCGACCAAGGGCGTTTGGTGGTTCGGGGGGGAAACTTCTGGTGACCCTACCGCCCCAAAGAACTGGCCGAAGACCTGCTGCGGGCTGGTTGTTTTAGGGTCCTCGACTCTAAACCGTTTTTGGTGTTCTCGGAGGTACCATCAAAAGGGGTGGTAGGTAACCTTTAGAAACCCAAACCCTGGTAAACTCCAGTTGGGTCTGTCTTGTTTTGGGAAACCAATCGAAATGGTTGTTTTCCTTTTGGTTTGCCTTTAAACCAACCCCATACCCTGAAAACGAGGCAGACTCCCGGAACAGAAGGGTAACCGTTGCATAGCCTGCGTCACGTTAGGCAAAATTCGCCTCGAGTGCCCAACTTCCGCGCGGAAGGTGGCGCGGCAACTTCAGCAAGGAGAACCGCTTTGACCAGCCACGGCCCAAGCAATGAGAAACCAAACCGCTGACGTCCTGCCTGCGTGTTGGGCTCCGCTAAAAAAAGGAATGCTCCCCAGTTTTCTCAAGGGTGCGAAACAACATTTTGACCATGTAAGGTACATTGACCAAAGGCCAAGCGTTCAAGCTCCTAGCCTGATGTATTGTCTTTTCTTAAAGATGGCTAGTTCCAAAGCATCGATGTAAACGCTGATCGTTCTAGCATTTTAAGCGGGATTGATGTCTCAGCTGTTTGGTTTTGATATTGACTTTCAGCCTTGTAGCGTTTTAGAAAATGCTCGCACAACGAGCTAACGTGTTGCAAGGCTAGAGACCTTCTTGGGTATGGGATCTCAAGAGCGAATGCCCTCATTTCCTTTGTGTCCCTTACTTACCCAAGGAAAGCACATTCTAAGGCACACTCCACCGTCCAGTTGTCCACAGTTGCCGGTCCCCGATCGAGGTACATGGACAACCACCTGGGACTCGTCTTTGATTCCCTGGACCCTTTGGTGGAGAAATGGCAGCGTGATGGCGTGCAGACCTCAGGGTGGGGCTTGGGCAGCGGTCCCTCGATTTCCTTGTTCGGACCTCCACAAGTGGCAACTGTGTGGCAACCCACCAGTAAACTGCAAGTTTTGAATTGGACATCCAGTGACCCCCCCTGTTGGAACATGCGTCGGTTGTGGAGAATTTGAGAAAAAGCGATGGCTCCCGCTGCTTCCAGTTTCGGCGGACATGTGCTAGCAATTACAGGACAGCAAAGTTCGGCCCTCTTTGTGTGTGTGTGGCCAAAAAGTCCCATTTCATGACAACGAAGTCATTGATTGGGTTGGCAAGCCCTGTTTGGTGTCAGAAAAAGGGCTTGTCTCTATCGGGTGAACTCCAACATTGATATTTGAGGTAAACCTTCGTCGATGATGGAAAACAACACCCATGTTGGTGTCCAAAAATGCGTTTCTTTTCAGATGGATCAGGCGTTGCAGTTTCATCCTTCCAGTTTGAGGGAGGTACTATGAGGTGCCGGCGCGCCCCGAATTCCGCGACTCGATCCTGCGAGGTGCCCTTCATTTGCCGCACCTGGTGCTGTGGCCCCGGGCGCCTCATTTGATACCACTCAGTGAGTCGGTTATAAGCATGGCTCTCAGGGAACTTGCACCGGTTAGCCCAGTTGGAAGCTTTCTTGTTTCGGGTGTTTTGGATTCCGAAGCTCGACAAGTTTGAAAGGAAAGCATTTCAATATGGTTGACGATTTGGGAACCCGCCAAACAAGAAGGGATTAGGAGAATGCTCATCAGGCATCCATGTGTCTGGTTGTTGCTCAGTTGCTCGAATCACTTGCCCTTGAGTATTGCCCTTGAGCATGACCCTTTCAGCATAGCCAGCCTTCATGAGCTTGCATCCACCGCGGTCCAAATATTTTCCCTGTTTGGGGGGGGGGGGTTAAACTCTTAAACATCATTTGGGCCGATCTCAAATTGGCATGTGATGTTTGAAGGGGCCTACAAGGAACACTGCACAGCCAGTTGGGATCGCTACCAAAGTCGGGTTGTTTCTGTTAATGGGAACCTCCAATGCCCTACATGACGCAAATGAATGAAAGGACACCATTTCACTTCAGGACCCCATAGGTGGCGGGGTCCCTTTTGGCGTCTCTTTACAACCAACCTTCATGGCCCCCAAAAAGACGGTAAGAGGATCTAGGGGGTTAAACCAAGCCCTGCTTCTTGATTGCCTAAAGGCGAGGACAGTAGCCCCGCTACTGGTCACTCCTAATTGGTCGACAAAGCCCCCAAAAATCGAGTTGTGCTTCAGGATCGCCCTGATCAAACTGGAACCCTTCAGTCCTTGTGGCCCCTTCTCGGTCCTTACCTTCTTGCCCCCTTCTGGGCAATAAGACTTCAGCCCAAAGAATGGCGAGCGGTTTTCTGTGAATGCGGAGCGGGGGCTGGCCTCCCAGCGGAGCTTGAACACCTTGCAAACTGTGGCAAGACAATTGCATTTGGAGGGAAGCACATGTTTGGGGACAACTTGAGGGGATGAACAGTGGCTTGAGATTGGTGGGTTTAAGCGCAGGCTGCGCAAATGCAAGACCGAGCAAAAAGGAGTTCAATCCGGCCGGGGGGGGGGGAGGCCCAAGAAATGATTTGGTAGGTTATTTTGCAAACCTTGTTTGGAATCTGGGAGGCAAAAGGCGAAGCCTTTGATCGGGGCGGAGGGTTGCTAATCGTGCGCTGACATTGTTTGAGAGCCTAGGGTTTCCTTCTTCCCGTGGCCTAGGATGCCGCAATTCCCTCTGCACTGCCCGGGCAAGATCCCAAACACCTACTTCTGCGAGCAGGAGGGGGGTTGCGAGCCTCCTAACTACGAGTAGAAAATGGGGTTGGCTTCCTTCGACTTTCCTATTTGGCGAGGGTTGCGGAGGGGATTCCCTAAATGAGCGTGTATGGATCATCCACGCAGAAGCTTCCTTGATTTGGGGGTCCCATTATGCTTTGGGTTGGTGTAGGAAATGATTCACCTAGATATATGTGGATGTGTCTTGTTTTTGCTTGGTACCGCGTCTGGGCTTGTTTCAAAGGGAAGGGACACCATCCATTCCGGGGTCCAGTAGCCCATGTTTAGACAAGTTTCAAGCTCACATGTTTTCATTCAATGTGATGAGGTAAACCAATGTCTACGTTGCAAGCTCACATGTTTTCATTCAATGTGATGAGGTAAACCAATGTCTACGTTGCCTTTGGGCAGCTTATGGCAAGCTCACCCACGGGTAAAGCGAGCTCACCCGTGATGCTCCCTCGCTTAGGATTCTAGGAGTTTGCCAAGAGTCCTTCAGACGAAATCAGAGGTTGCAAAGCGACGTAATGCTTCGTGATGCTCCAGGTCCGGGGTATGAAAGTAGGGACCCCGGCGAAGCGTTCCCTGTGCCCCTTTGGCGGCTGTAAGCATCACAGTCTTGTTCCATTTCTGGTTGGCTTCCTTGCTGGGGTTGCGTCATGCCTGAAGAGGAAGCATCAGGCACCCTATAAGGGTATGAAGTCTAGTTGGGGACCCTTTCGTTCACATCAGTTAAGTGGGGGTGTATGTCCGCCAACCATTTGGGAGGGGAAAGGGGTTCCCCTTTTTCATAGGTACGTACGTACGTACATACGTACATACATACATACATACATACATACACATGCACATACACATACACATGCACATAAATAACATACTAACATACATACATACATACATACATACATACATACATACATACATACATACATACATACATACATACATACATACATACATACATACATACATACATACATACATACATACATACATACATACATACATACATACATACATACATACATACATACATACATACATACATACATACATACATACATACATACATACATACATACATACATACATACATACATACATACATACATACATACATACATACATACATACATACATACATACATACATACATACATACATATATATACATACATACATACATACATACATACATACATACATACTTTAGAGCCTCCGGCTCAGTCCGCCGACATTGTCCTCTCCCTTTTCTCCTTCTTCCTCTCTTCCTTGTCTCCCTTGTGTGTTCTGTCGTCCTCTCTCCCCCCCTCTGCTCCCATCCTCCCCATCCCCCCAAGCCTCTCTCTCCCCAATCTCCCTCTCTCGTATGTATGCATGGATGTACATAAGTATGTATGTATGCATGCATGTATGTATGTATGTATGTATGTATGTATGTAATGTAAGCAAGTAAGTAAGTAAGTACGTAATGTAATGTATGTATGTATGTAATGTAATGTAATGTAATGTAATGTAATGTAATGTAATGTATGTATGTATGTATGTAATGTATGTATGTATGTATGTATGTATGTATGTATGTATGTATGTATGTATGTATGTATGTATGTATGTATGTATGTATGTATGTATGTATGTATGTATGTATGTATGTATGTATGTATGTATGTATGTATGTATGTATGTATGTATGTATGTATGTATGTATGTATGTATGTATGTATGTATGTATGTATGTATGTATGTATGTATGTATGTATGTATGTATGTATGTATGTATGTATGTATGTATGTATGTATGTATGTATGTATGTATGTATGTATGTATGTATGTATGTATGTATGTATGTATGTATGTATGTATGTATGTATGTATGTATGTATGTATGTATGTATGTATGTATGTATGTATGTATGTATGTATGTATGTATGTATGTATGTATGTATGTATGTATGTATGTATGTATGTATGTATGTATGTATGTATGTATGTATGTATGTATGTATGTGTATGTATGTATGTATGTATGTATGTATGTATGTATGTATGTATGTATGTATGTATGTATGTATGTATGTATGTATGTATGTATGTATGTATGTATGTATGTATGTATGTATGTATGTATGTATGTATGTATGTATGTATGTATGTATGTATGTATGTATGTATGTATGTATGTATGTATGTATGTATGTATGTATGTATGTATGTATGTATGTATGTATGTATGTATGTATGTATGTATGTATGTAATGTATGTATGTATGTATGTATGTATGTATGTATGTATGTATGTATGTATGTATGTATGTATGTATGTATGTATGTATGTATGTATGTATGTATGTATGTATGTATGTATGTATGTATGTATGTATGTATGTATGTATGTATGTATGTATGTATGTATGTATGTATGTATGTATGTATGTATGTATGTATGTATGTATGTATGTATGTATGTATGTATGTATGTATGTATGTATGTATGTAATGTATGTATGTATGTATGTATGTAATGTAATGTAATGTAATGTAATGTAATGTAATGTAATGTAATGTAATGTATGGTATGTATGTATGTATGTATGTATGTATGTATGTATGTATGTATGTATGTATGTATGTATGTATGTATGTATGTATGTATGTATGTATGTATGTATGTATGTATGTATGTATGTATGTATGTATGTATGTATGTATGTATGTATGTATGTATGTATGTATGTATGTATGTATGTATGTATGTATGTATGTATGTATGTATGTATGTATGTATGTATGTATGTATGTATGTATGTATGTATGTATGTATGTATGTATGTATGTATGTAATGTAATGTAATGTAATGTAATGTAATGTAATGTAATGTAATGTAATGTAATGTAATGTAATGTAATGTAATGTAATGTAATGTAATGTAATGTAATGTAATGTAATGTAATGTAATGTAATGTAATGTAATGTAATGTAATGTAATGTAATGTAATGTATGTAATGTAATGTAATGTAATGTAATGTAATGTAATGTATGTAATGTATGTAATGTATGTATGTATGTATGTATGTATGTATGTATGTATGTATGTATGTAATGTAATGTATGTAATGTATGTATGTAATGTAATGTATGTAATGTATGTATGTAATGTAATGTAATGTAATGTATGTATGTATGTATGTATGTATGTATGTAATGTAATGTATGTATGTATGTCATGTGTGTGTATGTGTATGTATGTATGTATATGTATGTATGTATGTATGTATGTATGTATGTATGTAGTATTTCCCGCAAAAAAACACGGTTTTTCCAGCGTTTTCGCAAAGAGGACGTCCAAAAACATTGAGTTTTTCCAGATTTTCGGCAAAAGGATGCAGGAAGCCCAAGCCAGCAAAAAAGCCGGCAGGGGGAATCGAGCCTGGGACCCCTGTTTTGCGACACCGGCTCCCCGAAGACTACGTTTAGTGGAACGTCATCAAATTGCCGCGCGGTACGTGGGGGACCCCCCCCCCCCACCCAAAAACCTACGTAATAGACGTCGGGCGGGGGGGGTTAGGGGGGGGGTTATCCTCTATCCTCTAGTTAGTATCCGACACGCCGAGCAATGTCGGCGGACATACATTACATACATACACACATACATAGATAGATATATATATATATATATCTATACATACATACATACATACATACATACATACATACATTATGACATACACACATACATAGATAGATATATGGATATATATATATATACATACATACATACATACATACATACATACATACATACATACATACATACATACATTACATACATACATACACAGATAGATACATACATCTAAACGCAGAAAGCACACATTTATACATACATGCATTCATACATTCTATTCCATTCCATTCCATTGGATCACATTACAGTACATCACATTACAATCCAGTACATTACATTATATTACATTGCATTACACCACATTACAATACATTGCATTACACCACATTACATTACATTACAATATATTACATTAAATTGCATTACATTTCATTACGTACGTACATATACAATTTATATACAAATACATGTCTATATATATATACCTATATTTATACATATACACACGCTTGGAGTCTCCACGAGTCTTCAAACATTGGGTTTGTGACCGCTTTCTTTTGGGTAACCTACTTTTTTCAGGGTCATGGAGGCTTCAGGTACTTGCATCTTTGCGTGTGTTCTTGGTCTGTGCAGAGTTTCAATCGGCAGGGCTGCTATGTGGAAGCTCCCCACGGCATCGTGGTGGAGGCCTTGTGCGGCCTCGAGGGCTATCAGCAGTCCCGGATCCTCGGTTCGGAAGGTTTGCTTGGCCTCCACCCCCAAAGAACCCCGTTCTCGGGTCTCCTCTAAAGAGATATTTATGATTTGCAGGTCGGCGAGATGTGGAAGAGAGTTAGCACATGTTTTTTTGTGGCTGTTTACCCCAGATGAAGGCCAAGCTGTCTTTTAGCCTAGAACCCGCACATGCAGAAAAAAAACATGGGGTCCCTTGAAGGTCCAGGCTGCCCGGGTTTCGGGCGGAGGGGGTCTCCTTCAGAGGGGCCCTTGTGAATCCTAGGCTGTTTTGCCAGGGGGCCTTGGGGTCCCCTGTCTAGTTGTGTCTGTAAACCAACCATGCAAACAAGCAATACGTTTTCAGGACTTGTTTCTGATAATTTTGCTGAACGAATCGCAGATGAACAAGCTGCATTTAGCCCGATTTCGCTATTCGCTCGGCTACGTCTAAATTATTTTCAGGGGCCACCAGTCTTCTGAGACGATGCGGGCCCCTCTGCTTCGAGACTGGGGACGGGAGTACTCTCTGAATGCCTGGAATCCTACCCACAAAGCTTCGCCATGGTGAATTAGAGGTTCCAAGTTTGGCCTGACTTGACTTGGATGTTCTGGTTTTCCACAAAGACTCAAGACCCCTGGATTCAGAGCTTTAAAATTTTGTGTCAGCCCAGGAAGTGCCTCAGTCGCATTCAGCCGGAAGAGCTCAAAATCTTCGACTTCTGCACCGACGCCTGACGCGGCCATCGTTTTCGCAAGGGCCCCCGGTCCTTGCGGCTTCCTTGATGGCGAGCTTGCCAGGGGTACAATGCGCTCACCATGATCAAGGCTTATTAAAGGTCAAGCTTGGCAGTTTTTGTAATGTCTGTAGATGACCAAGGCCAATAGCCAAGAAGGTCTTCGGAATCAAACTAGGACTACCACCTCATTTGGTATGGCCAAACCAAAAAGTCAGAAAAGTCTGCTGTCTCCAGAACGGGACCTGGCCTTGTATGGCTAAATAGGTCCAGACTGTTCCGGATCAAAAAGAAGAAGCAGGCCATCAAGACGGATGTCCGACTTTCGCCGTAGGCAGTACACTGCAGGTGGCACTGGAGCGAGCAACTCCCGCATCGAAAAGAGCCGCTCGCGCAGGTGTTCGCCCGGATCTCGTTTCACTTCTTTTCGGGGCATGTCGAAAAAGGGACACCTCAACGGGCGGAGTTTCCTGTTGTTCCTTAAAGTCAAGCTGAAAAAGGTTAGCCTCAGACGTATACACAGAATAACTCCGGCAAGTAGCACATGTTGTTCCCAGTCGTTCAGTGGCACCTCCAAATCCTTTGTTATTCAAATTGTTTGGTGGGCTCCCCACCAAAACGGGTGAAGTCCAAGATTCTGCCATGGTGCTGGGCAACTGGGCGCGGCACCTGCCGGTGTTTGCAGTGGATGGTCGGTCATCAGCTGTTGGATAGGGAATCAACATGGGCGCGTCATGTTTTGAGGATACAGGATGTCCTTTGCAGGGGTTGGTTTAAACAGGAAACCCAAGGTTCAGCAATCTTACCCAAGTTTGCAAAGAGTCGCTAGAGGTTGGTAGGTGTCAAAATAAGAGACCCCAAATTATCCTCCTGGTTTCACGGCAAAGCAAGCTAGAAAGGCTTCCCATCTAGATAAGACCAGGTGGTATCCCGAGCAACCCGCGGAACCCCGCTCCGAGCCACTCCGGACCCCATCCACCTTCCAAAACCGTTGGAATCCTACCGGCCACAGCTCCTTTTGGGACGTCCGCCGCTCCATGGAACCCCTGGCAGCCTTGAGAACCTTTTGGAACCCGGACCCCCCAGCAACTGCTCCAGACCTCGATTCCACCCTGGGGATACCAGAGCTGCTTCGCACTCCCTCTGTGGCAGAAACCCCACAGCTTTCAGCTGGAGGAAGAAACACTCCAACGTAGGGCCTCACATATGGGGGCTTCAAACGATCCACCTGTGGGAGACTGCGTGAAGAATCAATTTCCGCTTGAAATGTGTTTGTGGGAGGCTGTGTATCCCGCTGGTTCAGTCTCATCTTATTTTGATTCAGCTAATTGTCTGGGTGGTTTTCAGTTGGTTTGGTTGATTGATTTGTAAACTCTAGGCATGCCTGTCCGTGGATTTGCCAATTCCGGGTTGGCACTCTCAATAACTGCTTGATGGGGACAGTGGTTGACATGACATGGTGCGTCTTTTTATCAAATGGTTTTTCAGGACAACCAAAGGAAGCCCAACATTGTTGGGGGATCCTTCAATTCGAGGCATACCCACATCCTGAGGACGTTTTGCAAGAACCTGGTTGATGCTACGCTGTCCTTGTGGTTAGTTCAGGGACCATAGAAAGACACATTATTTGTCCAACAGCGTGGTCGTGAAAAACATTCAATTTTGGTGACTTTCTATGATACTAAGGGGAAATCCCGTTCAAAGTGATGAAGCAGTCACGGGAACGACCCATGTTGGCACCAGCGGTGATTTTCCACAGCCGTGTCTAACGGGCTGTGCGCCGATTAGCCTGGTTCCAACCGATTGGGACCAGTTTGGCGGCACACAACAAGCTTAGACTTTTTAGGGCCAGCCGACAGAGGTTTTTGCAGGTTTAAAAGGGTTGGGGAATGAACGTATATAGGGATGCCCCCAGTTGGTGCATTCCCTGAGAGCCAGCAATTTTCTCGTTGTGGGAATGAGGCGGGATTGTTCAGCCGCTGTGACGAAAGGAAACCTGCTGAGGACAGAAAGTTAATTTGGTGTGTCTCTCTTTTGGAGGATTGGTTAAAGGGGAACCGCAGAGGAAACACCCATTTGGGTATTCTTTGGGGGACAAGGGGCGACGTATGGTGGACTCTTTCTATTCTGAAACCTTCTTTAAGGAGCATTTGTTTAGGGTTCTTGGTTGCAAAAGTGGACTGTTCACCGCTTCGTTCGCAGGGCATGTTGCACGCAGCCCGGGAGAACTGCTTGTTCCTGGAGCAGCTGACGGTGCCTCGGGCGCAGCCTTTGGGGGCATGCAGGGCACGTTTGTTTGTTCGGGTATAGTGAATACAGGGGTTTCCCCATATGGCTATAATTTCAAACGAGAAAATCTGCCACAATGGCTGGTGGACAGACATCCCCACCTAACTTATGTCCGCCAGAGGGTCCCCACTTGCTTCCATTTGCTTGAGACTATGTTTTATTTTTCCTGTTGGTTTTAAAGGTAATCTATCACTTCTGGAAGCATATTAGTTCTTTCCAGGCGGCTTAAGCAAATGGAAGCTCATCATCTATATTTACCTAGGTTCTTTTGGGTGGTTATAGCAATTTTTGTTGCTCACTGGGTGGATTTCCTTTGGCAGTGATCTTTTCGGGGGAAATATAGATGGAACCTGATAGCAATCCGTTTGCCCCAACGGCCCGCCCATACCGTGGCAAGTCTCACGAGTGCGAACTGTACCCATTTGGTATGCCATTACTCACCATGAGGCATACGCCGACGGGTGGATCATGAATCATTGAACATACATAGTATACCCCCTATGCGAATGCATATTGGTGTGGTGGCTTTGGGGGGTTGCAATAATGCAATTGGCCCGTTATGTTGGACAGCCCAGCTAAACACTTCTGCCGTTTGGAGCACCTTCAAAACCTCTCCCAAGGACGGCCCTTTGTTCCCCCAGAGCCCGTGTGATCTATGTTAGATTCGCCGCAAGTTTGGCCTAGGCTTACCCCCTGTTGCTTGGCTTCCTTTGGGCCCCAGGTCCTTCGGGTTGGTGGAGGAAAGGTGAGGCAGAACCACAAACGAACGTTGGGCAGACCTGGGGGCAGTAATTCATGAGCCCAAAGAAGAAGTTGTCCAAAGGGAGGTGCCTCTTCGAATGGGGGGGTCTGAAAACCGGGGACTTTCAACATGGGTGTTTTTCAAGAATGCGGTTTTAGGCGGTTTGGTTCAACCTTGCTTTATGGGCGTAATAGGCCTACGTAGACCTTAATGACCATGGAGTCAAATGTCTATGCGTGTTCCCAAGACCCGAATTGCGTTTCGTGCTGAGAACTCACTGGCAAGACACAAAAGGTGCTGCCTGGCTTCATGAAGGTTATACTAAGGCCTTCGAAAGTAAGCCAGGGCCAACAGTCAATGGGTTTTGTCGCTGCTCAACCTGCGAAGGTCTCTGGCATTTTGTTCGACCCCCCGATCTTTCGTGGCATCGACCAGCAAAACGAACAGCCCCCCCGAGAAACTTCGGCCAGCTAGGGGGCCCAGGTCAGTGGAAAGGAATGGGAGCTTCTCAAAACGGATTTCGAAGCCCCTTGCATTTAAAAGAGAAGCCAAAAGCATCACCCAGCGGTTTGGGGCCGATTTCTTTGAGGTGACTAGGGGCTTTGTGGGGTTCACCATGGCAACCCCACTTCTTGCCCAAAATGCGGCCGGCCCGGAACTGGGATGGGTGGTAAAGAGGCCCATTGATCTCAATTAAAACTAGGGGATGCATGGTTTCTTCGATTTGCCCCGCTCTGATTTAGCACCCAGTATACTCTGTGTGTATATATATATATTATATATATATATATACATTGAACAGTTCCCGTTTTGTTTGGCACCTTGACCACTGGCAAAGAGGGTTCCAACCATTGCAATTCGACCGTTCGTGCAGAACGAATACTTCCCGCAACCTCGACCTTGAAGGCGGCTGAGCAACCAGTCTTCTCTTGCAGCCACCCAAACTGTGGGTACTCTTAACGAAAGACACCGAATCAATGCACCTGCACACAAAGGGAGTACGTTTCCAAGAGGGTGGAGTCGGCGTGGGCATGAAGTCTAATCAGGAACCCTTTGTTGGGCATCATTTGGGTTGGCATTGACGTCCAACAGCCACTTTTGGCATGGTTCCCTACTAAAGTCATAGCCACATTGCCAAAGGGCAGCGTGCTACCAAATGTCCTTCGAGACGGGCCTGCACCCACAAATCACGCATGAATTTGCATTTGACCCACACAAATCGGAACATATGCAGAATTCCGAAGGGATTGGTCCTGCGCAAATTATGATAATTCACACACCCAGAAATCCCAAAGAAAAGGACCCTCAATGAATGGCTCTTGACAAACATCTTGCAATCTTGCACTTGATCTTCAGCTTTTCTAAACCACACCTGCTGGTCCCTTTCACGGGTTTTCGCGGGACGTCCTCCGCGCATAAGGAGGACCGGCGGTCGCAGCAAGCAGCGGGGGAGAAGACGCTCAAGGAGTTGAAACTGCAGAGGCAAGAGGTGGAGGACAGCGTGGGGTAATTCCCCAGAGCAGTGAGTTGCGAGGTTTCTCAGCTTTTGTTTGAAAAGAGTTTCTCAGAGGGTCAGGTGGGCGTGAGACCTTGTCTCAACTTTTGTTGGAGGGTGAACATGTTTAACCACTATACAACTGGTTCTGACCCGAATCAAGAATGGGTTGCAACCTCCCTTCTTTTGGGTGACCCCATCTTCAAAGGGTCACAAGGAGACGGCTGGTACCAGCAAAAAGGATCCCATGGCCACTAGGGGTCGGGAGAACGACGTGTGGAGAGGGGCGGGGGGGGGGGGGGTTGCGACGTCCATAGTGAAGGTTCCTTTCTTCAGGGATTGACTTGCCATGCGTGTGGTGCGGATTGCGGATTGGGTCCCCTCACTCCCAATTTCTCGGTTCACCGGCCAGGACTGTTGCCTAGGAAACCCTGTTGATTGCAAAGGTTTGCCAAGGCTGTGAAGTCGTTGGGAAGGCCTCTGAAGGCCTCTAATTGGGGGGGGGAACGAGCAAAAAGCACGTGACCGATGAGGAGTCTTGTGAACTATATTGACTTTCCGGCATGGAGTTAGGCGATTCCCAATTCCCACTCCTTTGCAGCATCCCTGACATGCACTAGTTCCTTAAAATCAAGCATACCACTGCCGTTGTTCACTAAACATGATGAACCCCCCCAAAAAATGGGTTACACAACCCCAAAAACAAAAAACGGCTACACCCTTTTTTGGGTCTAGCTTTCGGAAGGGGTCGGAACCATTGGGTGACTGAGTGGGGCCCAGGAGACGCATCAAGCGCTGGAGCTGCGGGTGCAGGCGCGCTTCGGCGGATCGCTGACCTGAGCTGGTTTTCGGAACGAGCAAATGATCAGGGGTTGCAGCCATGGCTATTGGTTTTACCGCAGAGCAAACGGGAGGTTCCATGCGCCAGCCAATTCTTTTCGCCGGGTTTTCCTTTTTTCCACTTTAAACCAGCAAGCATTTCACTTTTTGCGGGGGGTCTAAGTCCGGCCCAGTAAGTTGGTGTCAAAAACAAGGACAATAGTACCGCACACATACACACATAAATTCGTACCGTTCAATCAGGGCCGTGTTTAGCCTAGTTGTTTGGCCTTAGCTGGTTTTAAGAAGGCTCTCTAGACCCCCGTTCTGTTTGGTGGAGTCTCACCAAAAAGGTGCAAAGAAAAGGTTCCTACCCGAGGCATAGGGGGCCAAACCTCATTTCACCTGCGGATATGGGCGTCGAAAACAAACCTTGTCTCTTCCCGGGCCAGAAACACCCGAACACATTAGGTAGTTTTCCAGTCGACTGTATTCTGTTCTCCTAGAAACTGAAGATATCAGTATATCAGTCTGTTTCACGCGTCGCGCGGGTTGATTTCCCTTCCCTCTTTAAGCTTTCCTTTGGGTCCATGTTTTTAGGAGTCGACCGGTCGAGTCAAGCGCGTTCTTAGAACCACGTCGAGTCGGCGAGTCGGCCAGGACGACCGGGCCAAGATCCAGGAGATGGAGAAAGAGAAGGTTTCACTACAGCACACGCTGAAAAAAACCGAGGACCGCCTAGGTCGACGTTCGCTTGGTCATTTCACCTGTACTGAGGGCTCCATGATTCTGGCTCTGCGTTCATATGGATTGTTCAGAGATCCATACGGATTTCGCTGACAAAGCAAACAACAGAGCCAAACCCAAAGCCATGGATGTGGAAGAAGGGGGGAGCTAAAGGCTGGGTTGTTCACAATCCATCCGTGTTACCAATCTGTGTGCCAGATGGAAGTTGCTTTCATTGTCGTCGTGCCAGATTGAGATCCCTCATCTCCCGACTTTGAACAACCCAGTCTATTGGTTTGCTCTCCACTGTTTCCCTGTTTGCTTGAAACTCAAGGGCGCTTCCGGAAGTTGGAAGTGTGGGCATCCCGGCAAAATGTGACAGACAAGATTCTGAAGCTATCTTGAGGAGCAGTGCTGAAAATGCCCCCGACGTGGAGTCGAGCATCATCCTTGCTCGATTGGTTGGCACAAGTCACCCTGACTAGACCACCAAAGGAACAACCAGAACGATCCATCGAATTGTGCAAAGATGGAAATCCTCATGTTGCTCCTTATTTTGGCACATACCCACGTGAACCAAAAAACAGCTCCCGTTTTCAACAGTTACCCCCCAGACGGCAGGTTGACGAGATACATAAAGCTACTACCTTTAGAAAAGAGTTTGAAGATTGGCCACCTGTTGCCTCTTCTTTTGTGGGAAACAACGCTCCTTGGACCGGGGGGGGGGTCGTCGCTCTTGTTCCACTCCAAAAGGGGTCAACAGGGAAATGTCAAACCTTGGCATTTTAGCTGGAAGAGGGGGCTGGCGTGTTGCAAAAAGACATGTCTTTTTACCTGGACCCCCAAAAGCGCCAGTAGGCGGTGTGGCCAGAAAAAAGCGGCTTCGCGTGGACCCGGTCCATTCTCTGCCCAGTGAACCCCATGCCATGTTCCTCTTTGCTTATCTACTGTACGCCTACAGGGACAAATATTCAGGCCCCCTCCCCAACGTTCTCAGACCCTTGCAAGCAGGCAATCTTTCCTGGTTGCCTCACGGAAATAGAGTCACTCCCCGCTTCACGATTTTATCGGTCGGCAGGAAGCGGCCTCGGTTTGGAAGTGGCGGCTGGACAAGGCTCTGAAGAGGATCGAGAAGCACGACCCGGGCTCCGTCTTTGTGTGGCCTGGCGCACAAGCGCAAATCGCCAGTTACCGCTTTAGGCTCGCTCCATGACCCTTCAAATGGGGCCAGGGGCAAGAATAATCTGTTCCTCCTCCAAAGGGTCCGATTGTGCTGGCTCAAAGAAATAAATTGGATTTGCTGTGGCCTGAGTAGTTCAGGATGCCCAAGAAGTGAGCCAAGGCCAGATTCCCGCGAGTCATAAGATGATCAACCCCCAGTTGAAAATGGGTCCTCCTTCGATGCTTGTCCGGCCAGGTGGGTAGTCTGGGTTATCATTGGCTAACAACTGCTTAGCAAGGTTTATAAGTGGATTTCAACCTAGGTTGGCACAAATCTGGCCGACCACCCAAGTGTCCCCATCAAGTCTCTTGCTGCGACCGGGTCTGAGCAAGCCGAGACACCGCGGCATGGGGCTTTTTGTTCGGCCATCGGGAACCGTTCCATGAGTCACGTCCGAGGAAGCGACTCAGAGAAGCAGGCTGGGAGACCTGACAGATCTGGCGATTTGCGGAAGTCTTGATGTCCAGTCAAAAGGTTTCTATCATACCTTGGGTATCGTCTCAGAAAATTGGCGCGATCCAATCTTGGGTAGACCACTTTACCAGGCTTGATTGTGACTCATTCTGCCTATGTTATGATCGGGGGGCCAAAGGAGCGACCACCCATGACGTAGGTCGGCCGTTCAATTGGCTGAGGCCTGTGCCGACCGCGTGCCAGGGAAAACGTCCAGATTTGTATACATGGTTTACCTGGGTGTGTCTTTTTTGATGGGTGATGTTCCTTTTGGTTTCCTTTGAAACCAACCCCAAGGCTACATCAAAAAGACGCCCATTTGGCCCAGAGAACACCAGCATCCCCTTGGAAAGGCAAGTTCATGTGGCTCAACACGCCAGGGCCATGGAGCAAAAGGCGCTTCAAGCCCGAGGTATAAAGTTGTGTCATCTTGTTTGCAGCACCTTGGGTCAAAATCAATTTGCGTTTTCCCCTTTGGGTAGAGGTGCTTGAAGGGGACATCAAAAGCATGTTTTACCGGTGTGCAATACTAGAGTGTAGATCAGCAGGTCTTTGGGCAAAATGGGTGACTTCCCAAGCGGAGCGCTTGCGATCTTTTTTAGATACAGGGGCCCTTCCACCCCACCTCCCCAAGGGGCTGGCCAAGGGCCAAGCCTCTTTTGGGGGTGGTGTGTATCCCATATGGGTATGTCAAATAGGGACCCCCAAACAACATCCCAACAAAAATAATGAAAAGCACCTGAAAGGCATTTTACTTCAGAGAACACATCCCCCATGGTGTTCCGGCCTCCTCCCAAAAGGATGCTTTCTCCTTGGTTTCCCCTCGAACCACTGCTTGCGCTAGGCCAGTGCTGAGGCTGAGTCAGCCGAAAGCCAGGTGAGTGCTACGTTGCCCGCGTTTTCGAGCCGGAGCCGTCCCAAGCTGGCGAGGACTGGGTAGCCTTACCGAACAAATGTTTTGCGTGTTTCGGCTTGGTCAACTATTCTAGTTCGAAATCCTAGTTTCATGATATGATTAAGCACGTAAGTTTATGATGGAACCTCGGCATCTTGGGTCTATCCACGGCCCATCGCATGGTCTCACCCAGTCTCACTCTGAGGCTGTTCTACTGTTTGGGCCGGAGATCCACTGCTTGAGGAGGAATCGCTCATGATTCTGCAAATTGTATGGCGAACTCACACTGCGCACAATGCGGTAACACGAGCTCACTTTTGGGGTGACATAGTTGCAGCAATGAGGATGTCAAGAACATTTGGAATTGCAAAGGCCGTAGTTGGAATAGAATAGGGCTACATGTGGATATATGATGTATGTGATGTGCGAAGGTATCTCATCGGATGTTGTTTGCTGTACTTGTTGGTCAAACCTCACTTTGATGCCCTTTGTCGAGCCAGTTGAATTGAGCAGCCTCTGTGCAGAATTGCTTCATGTGGATGAGGCGCCTTGTGCAGTCTGTGTGGGTTTCCACAATGAGCCAGATGTCAAACGCAAGGACGACCATGGAACACAAGAAAATACTAATACAACCATGTCTCATGGTTAGACCAGCCTTGGTTCCCGTCTGATTCAGAATGCTCATGCGGCCCAGCCTTCCTTTGTTCGGGGTATCTCCTGGGCGTGTGTTTGTGTGTCGAACTCGGCTGACAGCAATGTTTGCAGCAATTCAACACCAATCCAAAATATGCCTTGCTCTCTGAAATTCAAATTCCTTACTCGGAAACTGCGATTTTGCATGATGTTTAGTCCCGGAAAGCGGGGAGGGGCCCCATTTGGACGAGGACCGTAGCTGAAAAGTCCGACCCCTAATTACCCTCTTGTTAAATAGCGTTCCGGCCCCAGATAATATCAATTATTGGAGAGGGGGGGGGGAAATTATTGTCAAGGGGAAGCGATCATGGAAGTTTTCTTTTGATCAGCCCTCGTGCTAGGCCTGGTTTGTGTGAGAATGCCGGTGGAAAAGTAGCCACTGTTGGATCAAACGAAAAAATATCGGTATGTCTTTTAGAAGACCCCAAAATGGGGCCCCTTTTTACTTTTGGTTGTCCTTTAACTCCACAAGAAAGGGGTACCGTGCCTCAACAGAAGACACACTACTGTATTTCCATGCGAGCCCATCGGTGGCAGGTCTGAGGCGGAGAACTAACACAGATCCAACCCGATGCCCCGTGTTGGGGGGATTAGACATCCCACGTGCTTACCATTTGAACATGAATGTCCTTGTGGTGGGAATGTTTAAAGGGGACATGGAAGGAACCCTTTACTGTGAGGCCAAAATATAGCTCGACCGAGTATAAGTATAGTATAACCAACTATAGCGACTTTACAAGTGGGGCATTCTTGTGATCCTGATCATATTGTTTATCGAATTTGCAATGCTGGTGTTCCTTTTCGTTTTGCTTTTTCCACCAACCCCAAAGAGAGTACCCTCAAAACCAGAAGACACACACACACACACACCAACACTCAATGGGTCTTAGTTGTTGCTCTGAGGGGTTTTCGCAGAAAGCCACACGAAGATCGGAGCCTCATCATGAATGCAGTGATTCGCGGGGAAAAGGTCTGCGGTGCGCCTCAGCGGTCCGCCGACCCTTGGACCGTTGTGGGGAGCCAACAGTCACGGGAGTGAACCGTAATGGCACACAAAGAACGGGAACACCTTGCCTTGGTGGTCTGGATTGGTGGTTTGAGGATGTGAACCCCAGGTTCTTGCAGAGGGCAAATGGGAAGCCCCCCTTACCTCCAAACCACCAATCAGAGGGAGTCTATGGAAGCTGAAGCCGGGTAGTGTTCCACAACCACGCCTTTTGGTTTCACAGTTCTGGCTTATGAGCTTGTCTCCAAATGGGGAATGGCTTGCCGCGTGATTGGGTCCCCTAAGTCAAGCATTCTCTATGGGTCCCGTTTGCTGATTGCCTTCCTTCCAGGGGTTCAACTACCCAAAAACGGGGACCTTTTTTGTCCATGGCCACTGGAGGTTTGGGACAGGCTTAACCGTTCGGATGCTACCCGACCATCACGGAGCCTGTCCGGGCAACAGCCGACTGTCCGACTTGTGAGGCTCTTCACAGCTAAAGGGTCGTGGGGTTCTAGAATAGTCATGCAAAGTGCTAGATGTCTGAGTCTGGACAGTCTCTCTCAACAGTCCAGTTCTTCAGTGGCGCCATTCGCCCTGTGCTGTGGTGCATTCACAAAAGAGAGCAGCCCAAATTCAAATGGTTTTCTTTCCTGGGGTCATTGGAAAGGGCTAGTTGAATGTTCAGTCCGTGTGGCTTTGTCAGCCTCAGATTTGGTAGCTTGAGCTTGTGGCACTTCGCCATCAGGATGGTTTCCGGGTTCGACATGCGAACCAAATGTCGAGGAGAAACTGACTGGAGGGAACCTCACCCTAGGCCCTGTTTGGGCAAAAAGGCAACTCCTCAACTTTCGAGGAATTCAAGAACTGAAGGCAACCATAAGCAAAAGTTTCCGATATGGGGACAACTATGGCATCATCCATTTTGCAAGTCCCCCGTTTTCGGGAACCCTGCCGCTTCTTCTCATTCAGGGAAGCCCTTTGAACGGGTTCTCGCGATTTTCTTTGCAACCCCAGACACTGGTAACCCTCACAACTACAAAAAAAAACACCAGAGGAAAAAGCCGCAGCTTTCCAAACAAAAGGCCCGGGCCCTGGAAGCACTGCAGAGCCGAGGCCACATCCGAGGCGCGCCTGGAGGACCTGATGATGGAGCTGGCAGAGGCGATCGATGTGCTGCGGCTCTCCCCTTCCCTCGGGGAGACACGCAAACCCGAAGGGAGCCTCCGTTGAAGTCTGGTTGACCATCAAAAGAGTTTGTTGTTGTTGGTCCCAAGATACTTGAGGACAAAACAGATGGTTTGGGGCCAGGTGGTTTGGAGGCTGGGTACTGTACCTCTCCATTTGCCTTTCCTTTTGTGTGAGGGGGGGAGTTCGACACAACTCCATCGATTCATTTTTTTTGGGGGGCTACGTTTCAAAAAAGGGACCGCGCTTGGTAACCGTTTGTGGCAAGGTGTTGGTTTGAGACTGCCTTTTTCTGACAGAATTCCAGTGGGAATCCCAATTTGGTACCACAGGAAGAAGCTCGTGTTCCACAGGTGTGTGATCTGTGGTCCATTCGTTAGCCGCCGTGGTGCAGTCACTTAGCAGTGTGTGTGTGTGTGGGCGGAGCGTTTCACCGAAGTCCATGGGCAACTCCTGAGCCTGGTTGCTCAGCGGATTGGGTTCATGAAAGGGTCCTTTGGACGACAAGTCCCAGGTGTCAATCCCGACTTGTTCCAGGCTTCCCGTTGCTCGGATATTCGGCCAACTTAGGTTAGCCACCTGGAACAAGGTGAACTCCCCTGCAACTCAACATTGAACCCGACAGGGGTCCGTCAGACACAGATTCCTCTAGAATAGATGGTTTTGAGGCTCCATGCAAATCTGCAGGGAAGTAGCAGGAAGACTCTTTTGGTGGGTTTCCATTGGGTTTATCAACCGAGCAGGAATGTAACCAAGCAACAAACGATCACTGAACAGCCGGCTCCCCCACATGGGTCCCATTACCCTAGGGTGGTTTGAAGATGTTTGAAGCACCACCTTTGGGGCCATGAACATGTGAAAGGAATCCCATAAATTATAGGCAACCAAGCAACCAACCAACCAAACCAATAACCAAACAACCAGCCAACCAACCAAGCAAACTGAGCACTGGGTGAATCTTGGCGTCCAGGTTCAGCTCCAGAGGGAGGAGCTCAGAAGGAAGCTGCATGACCTCACCGCCAAAGCGGCCGAGAGGCGGGGAAAGACACACGCGCCGTGGAACAGGTCCACCCCCTCCCTCCGAAGACCCGTAGCGTTAGAGATGAGTAATGCCTCAAGCAAGGCAAAACAGGCCCAAGGTTGGGATGTCGGGGCCTCGAGGTTAGGGGGTGATGCCCTGAGGACCAAACTTGTGGTCAAGTAACGCCAGCATATGGTTGCCAAAGCGTTCTGCCTTAAATAAATATTGATATTGGCTCGTGCGGGCCTTTTCCTTCAATATCCCAATATCCTGATTTGAGAAAGCCCCTCCCCACAGGTCTGTTGGAATTATTTCGTCTCCTGGGAATTGACAAGTGTTTTTTCATGCCCCTGAAATATGCCGATGGCATCAGCTACTGGTGACCACGGATTAATCAACTTGGCTGATGAATAGGCAAAAAGTGAAGGTTTCTCTAAATGGGACCACCCCCCGCAATTCATCAACTATAGGGCTGAAGTAAATTCCCTTTTTCCTTTGGGGAACAGTCGTACTTGCTTGAAACCTCTTGCCCCACATTCGCTCCCAACGCGCTGAACACGTGCAGGCGAAGCAGCCTTCGCAGCCACAAATCCTCCGTGCAGCCGGGGTGCCAAGTTTACGGCGAGCACCGCCAAGTTCGTGTGTGTGTGTGTGTGCAGATATAGAGCAACAACAATTTCCGGGCCTCTTCCGGGGGGCGGGGGGTGGTTTCAACCAATTTCAAGCCACGGTGAAATCACCTATCAAACACTAAATTGCGCCCGGGCGTGCAGCAGCATGAGCGAGCGCGCGAGCGAGCGAGAGTGCGTGCGTGCGTGCGTGCGTGGGTGGGTGGGTGGGTGCGTGGGTGGGTGGGTGGGTGGGTGGGTGTGTGCGTGTGTGTCTGTGTGTGTGACTGTGTCTGTGTGTGTGTGTGTGCGAGCGCGTGCGCGTGCCCGCGTGTGCCTGTGCCTGTGCGGTTGTATGCGCATGTGTGTGTGTGCTCTTGCTGGTGCCTGTGCTTGTGTTTGTGTTTGTGTTTGTGTTTGTGTTTGTGCTTGTGTGTTTGTGTTTGCGTGTTTGTGTTTGTGTGT